ATTTGCTAGCTTTCCCTGTGGACAGAGAAAAACTTCATGGAGGGGGTGAATGGGAACTTGCCACAGTACTTACTTTGGTAGCAATTAGCTGTTGTCACCCCAACCAGTGAGATAGCCAATCTCCTTAAATATCTGGCTCATAGAAGTGCATGGGTTCCTGATTGTAGCCTTGCCGCAAGCTATGTTAGGGGTGGCCAAGTAAGACCCTCAATTTTGGACAAAGCTGACAGAACCAGGATTTGGTTTGTAGCCCAGTGAAATGAACTCCATGGCTGTCCAGAGTACTTCCTTGAGATTTTGATAAGAGTTAAGATGCCAGTCCTATATGGACCTAGTAAATTCAATTCTGGGAAGGCTTTAAATGTTTCATCCTGTGATTTTCCAGAATAAAATAACAGAGCTCAGTTCTGCCTAAGGTTGATTCCTCTATTTTTTCCTTCTTGTGCTCATAGCACCTAGTACATTTTGTCTAACCAAAATAAAACATTTAATTTGATTTATGAAAAATAAACTCAATTCTTTTAAAATTTAACATTTTAATTAGACACAATTCATATGGTCTATTGTTCAATGGAAGCTCAGATAAGCAAAGTGGAATGAATACAATGAAATATTAAACATGTCTGTGTAAATCAACATGAAAAGCTATTGAAGATATTGCAAGTTACAAACTACTAAGTACAGTGAGAGTTCGCTGTTAAACATTTTTCTAAACTTTATATATATTCATGTAGTGTTATTTTTGCAATGTTTTGTTTTTATAAAATAAAAACAAAATCAGCACATTTCCAAGTAATCTTCAAAACACATTTATTTACTAAGTCACCTGACATCGACATCTAAGATAATTTCAACAAATACAATGTTTAAGAAAAAAATTGTGGTATATAACGTATTTGTCTTAAGAAAAAAGTCTTATTTACAAGTTGAGGAATAAAGTATTTCTTTTAATTAAAAAAACATTCATTATGCAGTTCTACCATAATAAAAGTGAATTTCCCAAGAACAGCTCAAGTATCTAGTGAAGTATTAAGAGGTAAACATTTTTTCAGTCATATTCAGAAAATCTAATGTGTTTACTTGCTTGTTGAGTCTTCGCCAGTCTAATCTTTTCAGCTTTGGTGATTAACTACAGAGAAATAATCAGTAATTAGAATGTAGCGGATAATTTAAAAAAAATAAAAAACAAACTATGACTAGAAAAAATTTCACAACTATCAGTTTGAATGAAATTTTTTAAAAGAGATGTCCAGGCTCGGGGGTTCATGCCTGTAATCCCAGCACTTTGGGAGGCAGAGGCGGGTGGATCACCTGAGGTCGGGAGTTTGAGACCAGCCTGACCAACATAGAGAAACCCTGCCTCTACTAAAAATACACAATTAGTCGGGCATGGTGGCAATTAATCCCAGCTACTCAGGAGGCTAAGGCAGGAGAATCACTTGAACCTGGGAGGCAGAGGTTGCGGTGAGCTGAGATTGTGCCATTGCACTCTAGCCTGGGCAAAAGCGAAACTCCATCTCAAACAAACAAACCAAACCAAACCAAACCAAAACAATGAAAAGATGACAAATGAGACAATTACACTTAGGTCAAATCAATTACAAATCAAATCTGTTATTAAGACTATTTACTATTTCTTACACCCTCACATAAATTGTTGAATATTTTTAAGGAAGGCAAACGAAATCACACAGAAAGAAAAAAAAAAAACTGTTTAAAATGTCTAAAATATTCCAAAAGCTTCCTTGATTAAAAAATGAAGTTAAAATATTAAGCTTTGGAGTAAATGCAAATCTTTTTCTCTTAAAAATATAAATT